AGCATCCTCCACCGGTTCTGGTTCAAGCTAATTTATACCAGAAAAAGGCTTCCTGCTCAGACTTTCTTGGCACAGACAGATGGGCGACCATACCAACATCCTACGTCATCCCAGCACTTTCCAGCTAAGCACACAAAAACAAAAAAATCTGTTAATATCACAGAAACAAAATCCTGTTTATAAAGAACCATTGTTGTAGGGAGGCTTGATATTCTACAACTGTTTTTCCAAACAAAAACACGAAATAAACAACAATATATGCCCCTGTATTTAATCCAGTAAATGTAATATTGTTCTTGCTTAAGTTTTACTTACATAGTTAACTTGCTAATTACCCATTACTCCTTTGACTGCTTGAAAAACTTACACTGATGTGTGATATTTTCTTTTACCTGAAGAGTTCATCTCCAAACAGTGCTGGGTGCCTCTGCAATTGTTAGGCTGTCCTGGACACCAGTTTGTGTAGTGGAAATAGCTTCCATCGCTCCAAAGCCAAATGCTTGTCTGAAAGAAAAGAACCCAACAGAATATAAACGTCTCTCAATCATTTATCAAAATACTTAAAAAATAAACTAACTAGTAAAAAAATACCTTCTGTGCATTACTGCCTCCAATCCATGCTCGGTTGAACCCATAAGTTGCTGTTCTTATCACATGCTGAATATGATGGTACTCCCTTGGGTTATGAACTGATGCCAGGTGTCCCCCCATGGACATGCAGTGGCTCTGCAGACAAAAAACAGAATGGTGTACAGAAGTAGTAGCTGCATTTTTTTTTATTAACAACAATAAGATAAGAGAGTAAAATAGGATAAGAGCACAATGTTATTGAAAATCACCTCAGCTGAAGCCCAATCCAAGGGCATGGAAACATAGTGGTAGCAGTTACCGTTGTACTCAGACCAGCCAGAATGACAAGAAGCAGATCTCTGGATCAAGTCCATTGATTCTAAAGACAAACAAATGGAGAGCCTTAGTTAAAATCAATGTATGTCGGCATTAGAATAAACTTTATTCTTCATGATCCTATTAAAAAACAACACTCACTGACCTTCATCAGCAGAGCCATCATCTGGAACAGCTGTGGGCATTTTAAACAACAGGAATTAGTGAGTTTGTTTGAGTCTTAGTAACTTTACAAACTCTGTATACTTGAGAA